CAGGAACACAACCTATATTTTCTGTGTCAAAAGATTATAAACTTCCCACATTTTGAAGAATCTAACATGTAAAATACATATTAGCTGCTTCTTCCCCCACTCCATTTCTCAGTATAAAAAGGTATACATTTTCGTTCCAATTTTTGCATGGTATTCTGGCTTTCTATCAAGTCCTATAGGGAGAAAATAGCTTTGCTATCACTGCATTGAGGGTCTGGTGGAAACATGTGGGATTGCTTCAGATTTGGCACTGCATTTACTCCACTCTTGAACTAACCACCTAGTGGTTCTCTGCTTCCACATTTTCAGAATTTCAGAAAGGTAGGTTGAATAGTTCTGTATGTAATAGCAGTCGTTATTTGCACCTTTGCTCTCCCAAGTTCAGAATGCGGAAAAGAGGAATTGGGCAGAATTGACGTATTAATTAATGACAGACCTGTTCACTCTCCCTTGCTATGTTTGCAAATATATTTCATTCTTGGGATACTTTTCCAGGCTGTAATTCTTGAATACTTAAATAGGATTTTAATTTAAAGTTAGACAGGAGGAATGTGCATTAGGTTTAGACCATGCCAAGAAGCCCCTAGATCTTGAGAGGATGCGTCAAAGGGCTTAGAGTGAGTGTAATTAAATGTAGAAAACCTAGTGTAATGTTCTGTGGAATAATTACTCTTCACGGTGTCATCGATAGGGCTTCAATAACAAGTGCATAAATCTGTAATGGCATTCAATAAAGAAGATGAACCAACTTGGGGGAAAAAAATGTAATCTCAAGCAAAGAACGAACGGCAAGCATTCTAAGTAGATGAAACCGTGCAGAGAAGTAGCAAGCCATGCTCTACTACAGACAGAGACAGTCACTGGCTCTATGGCTACCCTTTGGCAAAAGTGTCCCTTGAATGGGTCAAGCATGCCACTAATTGGAAACTTCATACACACAGGTGTTCGATATAAAGATATCTATCCAGGTTCTTGATAGCACATTTGCAATTAAATCCTTATACATAACATTGAACTTATTAAATATTAACAGTTGTCTTTAAAATTTTGTAATTTCATTGCATAGAACATTAGACATGAGAATCATTTTGCTGTTACCCATGGCGAATGGAAGCTCCTATGGGTCACACCAATGAATTGTTGTTTTTGAACATGCTTTGCGTGGATGAAAGACGGGCAGGAAACAGCACAAACAAATGGGAACTGGAGCATCTGTACACTTACTGGATTTTTTCTTTTTACCACAACAAAAAAAGTAAAAAAAAAAAACCACAGGGTGTTTTTTCGGCTCTTGCTGTTTACGGTGCAAAGAGCTCCAAGCAGGCTGGTTTACCAACACGCTGTTCCAAGTAGCTCCTCCATCTTTCTGAGCATGCCCACCGATAATGGCTTAAAGAAGGACTTGAATTGCACAGTAGGATAAAGGAGGATGGCAGAGGCAAGCTCTTCTCATCAGACTGGATTGTGCTCTTGATAGCCTTCTGCACTCTATTGCTTCTGCCGACAACAGCCCAGATGCTAACTCAGTACAAAGTTAAGAGATTAATGACGTATGATACTAGGCAAAAGAAAAAAGAAAAGAAAAAACATAAAAGGAACCTCACAAAAAATAATAAACCAAGCCCCCAGTTTCTGGGCACCAATGAGGTATACATGTAAATAAAAGTGGAATGATTAAGGCTGTTTTTTTAAAAAAAATAATAATAATCCCAGGCATACATAAAACAATGCACAACATTAATGATGAAAAGCACTGCCATTTGAATGCTTTAGAATGGCTTCAGGATGGCTTTGGGTGGCTGATAAGACATGCCTGGCCAGCATTTGTGTCAGTCAGTAGTCAGCCAGTTCGCACTGCCTTTCAGTCCTATGGCCTCTTAACTCAGTAGTGAAACAGTGTTAGGTCCTAGTCAGAGTTCCCTTCGTCCCAGATTTTTCCATAGCAGGGATGATAAGAGGGAACAAACACTGGAGGGGAATGGGGGTTGATGGGGACAAACTGGAATGTGAAAGGAGAATGGAGCATCCAGCTCCCAGCCCTCAGTTCAAACACATTTTGAAGAATGGGAAAAACCTATGAAGAACTAGAGTTAAAATTCAGTAACTTTGTGTATAATCCTAAGAGAAGGCCATGGTTCCCCAAAATCAGATGCTAGGCACAAATGGAACTACAGTCATAGGTAGTTTCTGGAGTCCCAAACATCTCAAGCGACAGAAAAGTGGCATGCCTGTGTGACACAAGCCCCTTTTCTCTAATTGCACCTTCTTACGTACATCTTCTCAGTCTAAGAATCTGTTTTCAACCCTTGAGGCTTGCAGAATATGGTTTGACAACAGTGGCTTTCAAAGTCCTTTGTGACCGTTGGCTCAGGGCGTCCTCAAAGAGCACCTTATGGGATCCACAGGGATAAATCTGTATGAACAGCTCTTCTGTTTTGTTCTCTGAGCCTAGTGGTTTTCCATGGTTTCAAAAGCTTGATAAGACAAAAAACAACAACACAGAAATATATTTATAATATTTCAAGAATTGGGGGAACAGAGTCCCTAAGAATATCTACTGAAAAAGCTGGAGAACACATCTTTTATATGTAATGAGAGGTGAACATTAACCCAATTAGTAGAGGAGCTCATCCAATCTTCCACATCTTTGTACCCTTCAGAAGTATTGGACAATATGTTCGACATTAATTGCAGAAGTACAAGTGCATTGTATCATGCTGTCAGGGAATGATGTGGTTGTACTTCACTATACAAAGTGAAGGTAAAGGTTGAAACAGCTAGAAATGGTAATTAGTCAAAACTGAACAATGGAATAGTAATTAAATTAGTTGCTTCTATTTGAGATGCAATACTTTCATATACCGGAGCACTCAGATACATGAAGGAATATTTTCCAAAAGAGACCACATGTTTTCCATCTCACCTCTTTGCTCCAGCCTGGATGTATACTCAGCTCATATTTCATTCTGAATACTGAAGCAAGAAGTGTAAAAAAGCTACATCAACAGGGATAAATTCATTTCCCCTCCCCAATTAAAAACATATAGTTCTTTCAAATAGACAAAAACCAGATGTGATTGTTCTATTGATACAAAATTCTGATTGAACCCAGACGCTAGAATCAACTCAGCAGAACTGAAATGCCATTTCCATCTCTTTGAGGTCCTGTAATCCTGGATTACAACATTCTGGAATGGGAATCCGGAGATAATACAGGTAGCCCTCACTTACTGACCTTTTGTGCAGCGACTGATCAAATGGCACTGAAAAATGAGACTTATGACTAATCCTCAAAATGTTAGCCGTTGAAGCATCTCTGCAGTCACGTGATTGCAATTTGAGTGCTTGGCAATTGGCATGCATTTATGATTATCACAACATCCCACAGTCACACTATAGTCATTTTCAACCTTCACAGAAAGATTCTGACAAGGAAATCAATGGGGAAGCGACCAGGAAGTTGCAGTCATGGACGTTGCGCTTAACAACCAGCAGTGATTCACTTAATGATCACAGTCAGAACTGATGTCATAAGTTGGTATGGTCAAATGATATCATACTTAACGACTTAGCAATGGAGTTGCTGGTTCTAATTGTGGTTGGTTAGTGAGAATTACCTCTATGATCATCATTGGCCATGTATCTCTCTGTAGCTTTTCAAAGAAAGAATAATTTATTTATATTTCCAGGCTGCTTTCTTGGTAGAACTCAATTCAGCAATGTACAAAACCATTTCTTTTCAGGAAATTGTAAGAGGAACAGAGGAACTGACCAATTAGGTATGGTCCAGATAGAATTGCAAGTCAACTAAGTAGACAGAAACGAGGAAGGGATCCACATCAGAGAGGTTTTGTAAGCTGGTTTCATTTCCAGCTTGTCAACATCTTAAAGCTGCAATGTAGGAAAACCCTGGATTTATTTCTTTTATATATTTGTAAAACACATTTCTAGAGATGCCTGATTCCAGAATGATGCTGGGTATCTCACAAATTAAAAAAGACAAGAAATATTACAGAATCAGGCAAGAATAATTGTTTCCCAGAGGGAACAATAAAAACTGTCTTCCAACCTAAAGAAACCCAACAATCAACCAAGCCAAGGCCTGTGGGGAAAGTCAAGTAATATTCAAGGCTCATTTAAAGGCAGGAAGGACAGCTAAATTTGAACTCTGAATGTTGTCCCAGAGGCCAAGTGCTGTGGCAGAGATAAGGACCCTTCCATTTCATACAATCTGATTCTAGGGCTCAATACACACAGTAAAATCTGCACAGTCCTGATATGCACTATTGGAGCTCTGTTGTAATTTCTGTAATGTTGTGCAGCACTCAATATTTAAATAATGCAACAATTAAGAGCACTAAGAGATTCTCTTCATTCAAAAATAGCATAACATATTTAACCCAGGCAAATTATCTTCAGCTAAGCTGAAAATCATATCATTGGGTTAAAAACAACCATCACCAGGACTTTAGCTTCTAGGGATTGTCTCAGTCATATTTGATGAAAGTCAACTATTGATCACATTTCTACTCCTGATACATCGTGGCAGAGGTGGAAATGGAGGCAAATGGATGATACTCACTATTATACCCAGAGTTCAGAGCGGCAAATGAATTCCAATGGATTCTTCATAGGTTTTTCCAGTGCAAGGATGACATTTCACTTATTTCCCCAAATGCCTGCTGAATCAGTGATGAGAGAAACAAGAAAAAGAAGCAGCTGTTGGTAAAGAGAAAGGAAATTCTAAAAAAGAAAAGATAGGAAGATGGAAATGGAAATGAAAATAAAGGGATACTCAGATTAAGCAACAATAGAATGACCTGCTTCAGGGCACATGTCAATTTAAAGTCAATGATGGGAACAGAATTCTATCAAGTAATAAATAAGAAATTTCTGGGCTCTGGCATTTCAGCGTGTTGATATGGTCTTGGTAGGACATTATATAAGGACATTGTGGATGGTGCTGGAAGACCCAGTATGACTCACCGAATATTGTACTCTCACCAAAACGATGTGAATTTCTTGCCAAAAGCTGATACGGCTGTTGGAGTAAAGGAAAGAGAAATCAGTGTTAAAACCATCTGATACAGTATAAGGTTTGAGTTTGAAACTCTATATTCTTTTAACCAGATCTTCAGCTTTTTTTCCCTAAAATATTTATGCATTACTTCTTGGCACCCGTAAAGCACGTCAAAGGTGGTTTATAGTAATATCAGTGCAATAAAAATATAACAGATACAACACTCAGTGAAAACAATTAACAAAACAAAAATTCTGGTGGAATTAGTCTGTTGAATGGACATAGCTCTTCTCAAACTCATGCGATGCTCCTTCTCAGTAACAATCTCCATGCTCTGAGTGCCTTGCTTCCTCTAGGCCTCCGGGAAAGCTCTGAAGGGGTAGCTATTTTGCAAGAAGCTCAGGTATTATGGTGGATAAAAGAGTTTCCTTTAGTTTACCTGGAGTGTTGGGCTGGAGTGGGTTTTTTTCATATCTTTTAAGGTGCTTTCTTTGAATCGTATTTACTTTGTTTGATTGAAACCACCATGAGACTAAGAAAATAGGACATAAAAAGGTTGTACAAACAAAACATATAACAAAATAAATGACACAAATGATATGTCAACTCAAAAATATTTCTCTGGTCTTTTAGAGTTGCCAGCAGAAAGGGAGTGGGGGAAGTAGTACATTCCTTAAATGCTTCATAGATAATTTCTAGGAAACCGAAGCTTCTGGCGCACAAGATTATTACTGGAGAGCATGATTGATGACTCTTGGCTATGGGTCCCATTGGAGAATATACATCTGGGGATGAGGAAGATCAGGGTCAAGGATGAAATGAATGATAATATGTCCCTTTGTTCTTTTTGAAAATGTAGATAAATTCTATGAAATCAAAAAGGGGAAACCATACAGAATCTGATTTATATATGTTATGTAATCTTAATGGGGAATATTATTTTTAATGATTTAGGCAATAAAATGTTAAACACTTAATGGGATTTAAAAGGGGAGATAATTAATGAATATGTAACTTGGAGGTGGCGCACTTAAACTGATATTTTAGGGGGAAACCAATTTATAGAAGGAGTGTTATTAATCAGAATTTAAGAGGACTATACAAATGTGACAGTTAAAAGTATTAAAGTATGAGAATTATAAAGTTAATACATGTGAATTAAAAATGAGATATGCATTGGGAATAATACAATAAAATAGAAAATGTATAAAAGCATCGTTAAGATAAGAAATTGAATACATAAATTGAATATGGAACAATGGTCATATTTGTATGTATATGTGAAACCTGTAATCATGCTGTTCTCTAAAATGAGATGTTAAAAGGTGGAAAAATGAATAAAACTTGTTTTTTTTAAAAAAAGGATAAATGAATGATGTGTCTCAGAGTCAGCTACACCCAGGTAGCACCAGCATGTTTACTCCTAATAAATCTTCTTTAAACTCTGAGAGAGGCGGCTGTAAACTCATGATTTAAATGGGAGTGGATGCCAGAGCCCTGACATGATGTTCTTTTGGGAGAGAATTAAACAACAAGGTGTTGCTACCCAAGAAGTCACTAGCATTTGTACCAGGGAGTCATAGATCATTCTTAGTTGTTGACCACCGAGTAGGATTTCCAAAAAAAAAAAAAAAGTCAGTGATGGTCCTGTTCTGGTCCTGAAATCCTGTCTCCAAACAGTATATTGTTACTGAGGTGATAACAAGCATCTTGACTGCTCACAGACAGAGCAGCAGGACAGATCATCTGAATCACAATCATCTGAAAAGTGAACATTTGACAATATTGTGACTCAGAATTCCCACCTTCTGTCAATTTGCCTGCTTGTTCTGCCGCCCCTCCTGGCAGGATTTTGGATAAGACACTTTCGCCCTCTGCTCCTGGCTGTCCAGCTGCTGCTCCTGTAGATAAGGAGGGGCCTGTTGGTTTGGGGCCCAATTTAATGCCTGTGAGAGAAAGTGACGAAATAAATTAATATGTGTGAATTCAACAAAATGTATGTCCTACTTTACCACCAGGAAACAGTTTGTAAAAAAAAATAATTATCTTTACTCACTATAGAAATATAACAAGTCTTGCGAGAAAAAAAAATGTAGTGGCAAGCATTCATTTGATCAGAATACTTATATCCAATCTTTCCATACAGAAAATTGTACTCTCAGTGACCAGAAATAAAAGAAAATACAAAAGAGCCTAATGCCCAATTAAAATAAAGTTAACATAATAGAAAAACATAACAGCTAAATATTCAATAAATCTATCATTTAAACCAGAGGTTTCCAATTTTTCCAATTTTAAGACTTGTGTATTTCCAGTATCCAGTAACTTTCAGTATTCCCCAGCCAGCCATGTCTTAAAGTTGCCATGGTTGGACACCCCTGATTTAAGCAGTTCAAAAGCCTCCCATAGTTATTCTGTAGTAAGATGCGTGACCAATGAATTTGATAAATAAAATAAAAAAGGCTAACATGAATATATGCACCTTGATAGCCTTCCTGAAGATAAAAATATGAGTTCCAAATCTGAACTCCCAATGAAATGGGTTGCAAAATATGAGGGCCAGTCAAAAGAAGTTCATGTCTTATCTGCCCAGTTACTGACCCTCTGTAGGAAGGGCCATTTCTTGCAAAGTAAATACAGTAACTGGGAGTTATTGATATGAATTTCTCAATGAACATAGTATTTTAAGCTGAGCTAAGTAAAGAGCAAGCAATTTATTATCAGATTTTAATCAGGGTGAGATGTTCCATCCTCTCTGTTCACAGGAAGAAGACACTTAGAAGACTTATTTTAAGTATTTTACTTGTGACACCTTTACTATGCTTACACAATTCTAGTCTCCTGTGAATTAATTCTATACTAATTGGCACACATTTTGAGGCCAACCGTGGCCAAACTTTTCTTTTCTTCTTAATCTTGCCTAGGATGTCATGTGATCATTTTGGAATTCATTTTGAAAACGCAAGTGGAATTCTTCCCTCAGAAAACTAACTCCACTAGTGTTCCCTAGTGAAATGCACACAAATAGTAGGTGCTAAAAACACCTGCCTAGTTGAGAAGCTGCTTACTGACCTCCAGCTGTCCCCTGCGGTTGTGTCTGGGGCGCTTTCCCCACCTGTGGCACTTTTGTGGTAGGCTTGGATACATCCGGCTGCTCTGCTTTAGCCTATAATGGGAAACAGAAGTTTCATTTGTTGGTTTAAGAAAGTTTTTTTTCCCAGGATGTTAGAGAAAAATTATCTTAATATAAAACCCATCTGTTGAAAACCTAGCAGCTTTGTCACCATAATTTTAAAAAGCTGACTCATTTTTCTTATTTCTAATTGGTCCTTTACTCATCCTAATTCTCCATAGATCCTCTTCTTTCCAATGTTTCTATGTTTCTTTAATTCTAGACTCACTGACACAGAAGAATAACTGTTTTCAGATGAGTCTCACTTTAGACCAGTGGGTGGCAAACTAGGAGCCACATTTCAAAATATTGGAGGGCAGGATCAAGCAAGGCTGGGTCAAGAAAAAAAAATATACATATTAAAATCACTTAGCTGAATTCAATGAAATATGAGCACCCTCTGTGTATTTACATATTCTAACCTGTCAAATTAAAAATTAAATCTTTGGGGACTCAACCCCCAAACTTGGAAGTGCTGAAAGCAGCCCTGTGACTGTTGGCTGTACTCTCCTGTCAGCCCTCTGAGGTAATTCAGGCAGAAAACCAAAACTATCATTACTAATAATACCTTTCTTGTAGGGTTAAGGTAACAGAATCTCTCCCCGCCCTTGTCCTTAATTCCCAGAGAATAAGGGAGAATCCCTTCTGAGATGCTTTCTCTATCCCCATTCCTTCTGTGGATGGAGATACCTCTTGTCTGACTCTTGCCCTGGCTATTGCAGCTCTTCTTCCTATCTCCTAAATTTATTCTCTCAGTCCCTTAAGTCTCCTGACCTTTGACTGCAAATGAAACCTCTTTCAGAAATCTAGGGAGCTGGCCTACCCCCATAATTGTTCTATATCTCCGCCCCCTCATTTAATCTTTTTTTTTTAACTTCTCTCCAACATTTGCTGAACAGAATGGTTCCTCTATAACCTCTGATACCATAATTAACTCTTGCAATCCATCCATCAAGACAACTTACCTGCATATAATACAGTCATCTAGACCGTAGAATGATTCATGTGTTCCATGAATACATATTTATTCCATTTGGTTTTGTGTGTGTGACATTGAGATGAATGCACACATTTGCTACTCTAGAACAGATCATTCACACCTTAATGAAGGGCAAGACAACAGACAGTTAGCAAGGATGGAATGATCAACCATCTCTCCTTAAACAAAAATTGAAGTGGTACTCACTGGTCCTGCTTGGTGAGCGCTAGGTTGTGCTTGGGCAGTTGGCTGTGGTTTGCCTGATGGCTGAGGCTGACCAGGCTGCTGTTGGGCTGGCCGCAAGGTTGGTTGCGCTTGGGTTCCCAGTGGTGGCTGTTGCTGTTGTTGTGGTTGTTGCTGCTGCTGCTGCTGCATTCGAACCTGCTGTGGCTGTTGATGAGAAGGACCTGCTTGATGCTGTTGCTGAGGTTGTCTGCCTGGTGGTTGCTGCTGCCTAGATGATGGTTGCTGCTGCCCAACTTGCTGTTGCCTGGGTTGCTGCTGCTGCTGCTTTTGCTGCTGCTGCTGCTGCTGTTGGTGAGACAAAGGCTCAGATTTTGGCTGCTGAGATGGCAACCCGTGTTGCATCTGCCTCTGGGATTTTTGGGACTCTGAGGTATGATGATACGGCTGTCGGGATTGTTGAGGGTACTCCGAGGAGCTGGGAGGATAACCTTGCTGGGTTCTTGTATCTGATTGCTGGGCCTTCTTCTGGGAAGTGGGCTGCCCATGTCCACGTCCATGCGACTCATGGCGGCCTGGGTCTCTTGGGTGTTGCCTGGAGGATCTTTTGGGCAGGTCATCAGTGGAGTGGCGGGAGGAGGATGAATGTCGCCCATAATCTCCATGGTGCTTGTGATCTTTGGAGGAAGAGTGACGTGGGTGGGAATAGTCATCATGATGCCACAAGTCTTCATCTGGGGGCTCATCGTAATCATGATAGGTGTGCTTAACTGGACCTCTCTTCTGAGAGGATGAGGAATGGCCACCATAATGCCTCATCCTCTCTGAACGAGGTTCTCTTGGTTTGTCAAACCAGTCCGTCTCCTCTTGGCCCAAGTGGTAGGCTTCAAACCAAAAAAGATCACAGTGAATCTCCTGATCCAAAGCTAGGAATGTATTCTGACGGAAGCCATGCAATGAAATAGAGAAGAAGCTTATCACAGGAATACAGGGTATGTCACAGCAGCCACTCAGGAAATATAAAAACAGAAACCTCAGCACAGAAACACACTGAACAGGCAGTGAACAACATTAGGACATGCAATGTGCAACATGCTAACATAAAACAGAAAATGAAATCATGATAAAGGCACATGGCAAGCAAATGGAATTGGTGGCATTTTCTTTGCAAATATGACCCGCTTGGGCATGCTTGGAGATAAGTCACAACAGGTAGTTATTACCTTCACTGTCTGAAACAACACAGTGTGAATCATCCATGATGTAGCCTTCTTCATGTTTGTAAGAATGGGTTCTTGGCACATCTTTAATATGTTCTTGTACATCAGGCAATGAGTGACTAGAACAAAACTGGGAGCAACTGTCTCCAGCAGACTGAGGAAGAGGTCCACCTGAGGATCGCGATACACCCACGGATTTTCCTAATGGACTGATAGGACTTTCTTCTTCTGACGTTTGCGTGCGAATTGGAGGTCGCCCGCGACTCTGACTCATACTAAGCGAGGAAGGTTTGGAGCTTCCTTTCTGAGGCCTCTCCATGCTCTCTCTTTCATAAGATCTGCTTCTAATTTCACGACTTGACAGCTTTTCTGACACATATCCAGAGGATCTTGATCGGCCACCACTATATGCTCTGTCATCTTCTTCAATCCCATCTCTGTTGGATACACTATAGTATTTCTGCTGTTCATAAACATTTTTCTTTAGGCCATAAGTGATATCATCTTGCATCTTCCTTGCTCTGGATGCTATGCTGCTGCTACTGACTGATGTAGTCACTGTATAGGAGGCCAGATCTGATTCTACATCTTTGGCTTCTTCTATAGGGGAGAATTTGGAGATCTTCTGCTCCATACCTTGTTTCCTATGCTTGCTGCGCTTGGAAGAGATGACAGCAGGGGCCAGATTTTTTGAAGAGTGTTTTTGTACTCCTACACTTGCCCCATGCTTGTCTGGACGAGAGGATGATCTATAATCACTGTCTCCATAGTAATAAGAACTGCCTGATACTCTCCCATTGCTCTCTGCGCTTTTAGGATAGCTTTTCCCCCGATGGTCAGGACCATGGTGATCATAAATATCCTCTTCAGACTCCTCTTCTCCTTTTGAGTAACAACAAGGCCTGCTAGACATGTCTACATCCGCAACCTCCCTCTTGTCTTTGATAGGCAGTCCATTGCTGCTGTGTGATGGCAAATCCCCTTTCTGACCCTCTCCTGAGCTGCTCTCTTTGGTTAATTCACTGATATCATCAATCATCACATAGTTCCGAGGAATGTTTTGCTCTAGATTGGTGTATAGGGAGTCAGATGAATAGCCCGTAGAGGGACTTTGTGCAGCACTGCTCCTATCTCCTGGCCTCCCTTCTGGGGCTTTGTGTTGATCGTAACTGCTGGTCACTGTTGCAGTGCTGTAGATCACTTCAGGGGTTGCAGCAGAGATCACCACAGTGGGATTGCTAATGACTTCATAATTGGTCAGGATCTTCTGCTCTAAGTCAGCCAGTGAGGTCTGTCTCGGTTTCTGGGAGGTTGTGTGGGTGTCTGCATGAGCCTGAAGAAGAGCACCCTGGGCAGGCTGCAAGGGTGTCTGACTGGGATAAGGGGTCTGAGCTTGGTAAGGTGGGCAGAAGCCTTGGTGGCTCTGTAGGCCCAGTTCAGACTGATACCCAGTACTTGGGGTGAAGCTATGGGCCTGGTATGTGGTTTGGGAAGGGTAAGCAGGCATCCGGCTTGGCTGGAAATCATTTTGAGTCGGACCACTGCTTGCTGGAGGATAGTATGGAGGTTGAAATCTTGTTTGCTGGAATGTAGCTGGGGCTGGTGCAGCAGTCTGAACTGAGGAATACTGGTACGGGGTGTAGGAAGTTGTTGAAGTGTACTGGGAGCTGGAGAATTCTGCATATTGGTTAGAAGGGGTGGCGCTAGGCCTTGCCAGGAGACTTCCACTCTCATAACCAGAGAGCCGAAGGTTATTTAGTTCGCTGTCAGACATATAATCTCGATTCTCTCCCAAGCATCTCAAATAGGGATAATCGCGAACATTCCGATCCTTCAGCAAGGACTCCTTTCTCTGGTTGATCCCCAATTCCAGGTACTTCAGCTTGGCATCAATCTCTTTCTCTTCCTCATCCAGCTCGGCTTGTTTCTTTCTCAGTTTTGTGGATTCGTGCTCTACCAGCTTCAAGTCTCGGTCGAGTTCTCTAAGGAGGCTGGCTTTGGTCACTTGGATGGGCTGCCCACCAATACCCTTTGGCATGAAGCCAGGCATGTACATCTGTGAGTGGGCTTGGCTGGTCAGAGGAAGCTGAGCTTCTTCTGGTGGGGGGCTAGGCAAGGTCCGCTTCACTTTACGAACGAGAGTGTTTGATTGCAAGGTTGAAATCTAAAAAGCAATGGAAGCTCTGGTTAAATTCAGAGGTACGACGGAAGAATTCACAGCTATTTTCACTCACTAGGAGGGGTGGTTGATAGCAATAGCATTTAGACTTATATACTGCTTTATAGTGCATTACACTATAAAGGTTTACAGAGTCAGCATAATATTGCCGCCAACAATTTGGGTCCTCATTTTACCCACCTCGGAAGGATGGAAGGCTGGGTCAACCTTGAGCCTGGTGGGATTTGAACTGCCGAACTGTAGGCAGCTGGCTGCAGAAGTAGCTTGCAGTACTGCACTCTAACCACTGCACCACAGAGGCTCCTTAGATAACTCCTTAGATAACTCATAGATAACTATGGTCTGCATTTTTTCCCCAAGAGCAGATGTACAAGATTAATTCTAGATATTAATATTTTAAATGCGTTTAATATTAATATTTTGATGTTTTTACATTTTTTTCCTAAAACACGAGCACTTCGTGGATTTAAGCACTATCTGATAAAGCTCTAATATGGCCAGTTTATAAAGGCTGTTGGTAGTTTCTTTGGAGTAAAATATATGAACAAAATGCACTTTACAAAAATAATTCCTAATGTAGGACACAAGTATTTCTTGATATTCAAACATCTTGAATGAATAATAATGTTGCAGGCAAACATCTGCTCTATCAACAGGCACAGTTACTGACACTGAGAAAAAAATGGAAAGAGGCAGAAGTCAAACAATTTTTTTCCTAATGCACCCATACAAAATTAATCTAGTATGATTCACAGATTTAATTCATTTAATTATTTAAATAAATTAAATTTGTGTATCTTGGGGGCTGGGGAGAATATTTCTGCTTTGCAGATGAAACATCTATATATCTTATATAGATATAAGCATTATATTATATATAAACATCTGTTTGGGGTCTGAAAAAATTAAAATTAACTGTTTTGGCAACTCAGATTGTTGTAGGGTTTCACATTTTTGTTTCTTTGTTATTTTTACAGTTATTTGTCCATGTTGTTGTTGGAACAGCCCATTTTAAGATACTTTAACACAAATATTAATTATTTAGCATATAGCAATAGTTTTTTGTTACTCTTTCTACTGAAATGTTATGCATAAATTTGCTTTTAGTGATTGGTTTGTAGTGATGTATGCTCCCATGATTGGTTCATGGCAATGTACTTTTTTCAAAACTGTTCAAAAGGGTGTTAACTCTGAGTAGGGTTATGCCCATTCTGGAACTTGTTTCTCGACAACTTTTTATTTGCAAATAAAGGTCTTAGTCCTTGCCACCTATCTCGTGTTATTCATTGGGCCTGAATACCAGGTAAAAGGACCTGAGATTTCTGGGACAATAACTTCAGTCACTGTACCATGCAGAATGGAGAATGGATAACAGTAACAGTGTTTTTGCCTCTCCATAAATGACAAAAGTCCCCATTTATCTCCTGGCTTTAGGGATGCCCCACACTGTGTGGATGCATTGTACCCGGGTCCACAAAAGAAAGGAGGAGAAACTGCCATAATTCCTGGATCTGTTACAATAACCTGCTGTGTTACAATAACAGATCCAGGAACTGAATCAGATTTGAATGGGGTACAGCATTCCAATTGTGCATTTTTTGTTCTTGATATGCAACTTTAGGCCAACCTAGAGTGTCAAAAATTCCAACAAGCTGTCCTTAAGCTAGACGCAAGATTGTTAATTCAGATGTCTTGTGTCAGGTGTCAGTCAGAAGCAAAGATGCTGTACGTTTAAAGCAGAACTTCCACAATGGCTCAGGATAAGTTGTGATATTGAGAAGTCAAATGCATCTGCCAAGAATTTGAGCCGGCATCATTTGTAAAATGTGTCATCTCTATTTTGTGTGTGTGCACATGATCTATTATAGCATATCATGGAGTGCTGAAATCCAGTGGAAGGAATGAGAAAAAGTTATGTGCAGGCATGGAATTTTCTTTTTAAAGAAGAGAATTACAGAAATACATGGGGAAGACAGGCTTACCTAGGATAATTAGCCCTAATTACTGAATATTTAGTAATCTCTAGTTAAAGAGAAAAAAGAATGGGCAGTTTCCTTGTATATTTCGCCAAGAGGCAGCTGGCCTTTCATGTTGGTAATGGGCTACAGGAAGTAGATGGGCCTTGCTGTGTTTCAGAACCTTCTCATGATGTGATTGGTTTCACAACTATTATTAAAACAATGCAACCTCATTTGCCATTTTATAAAATATATACAGTCCCCCCACTACTCTTGTTGCTTAGATCATCACATGTGTTAAACAGATTGGAGAAATGTTATTGGGGAAATCAGCGGTTTTAAGATTCTGAGGATGCAAAAAAGAAAGAAGTGGTTGGGCGCAAACAGGAAGCAGCAAAATATAAATGTAACATTTTTTGGCACACAGGAAGCAGCAAAATATAAATGTAACATTTTTTGGCACAGTTCCAAAGCAGTCCTGCCAATTATATCAAGACATTGCAGATATCGGTACTAGCATTATCTACACAAGGAGATTCAGTTTGAATAAGAATGCAGCTGTCACTTGCCAGAATGTAATTGTAATTTAAAGGTGGTCTTTTCAAATATGCATTATTTTACAATTAATCAAATTGAAATATTTTGGTGTATTGCTAGGGACACCATCCCATAGAAAGAACATTCCACGGTGTGGAACAGTAGATGTAAGTAAAGATGTTTAGTACCAAAGCCAAGAAGGTTCATATATTCTTTATTATAAAGTACAATGGAACCTCGGGTCGTGATTGTAAACCATTCCAGGACTACGGTCGCAACCCAATTTGGTCATGACCAGAAGCACGACTGACTGTGCGTGCACAGACAAAAAATTGCATTGGCTGTTCATGCACGGAAGGGGAAATTGGCACGGAAAGGGAATCTGCCGTGGCCGGGTTTGTTCGCCACCCAATTTTTGAATCATGACCTGATTCAAAAATCGGGTGGGTTTTTTTTGGTTGGAACCTGATTTGGTCATGAACAGAAGCGTTTGCGACCCAAGGTTCCACTGTTTCAGGTAAGTGTTCAATTATAATGATAAATATCCTAAATACTGTATCAAAACTGTCCAGGCTTTATTTGAAGATGTCTAGAAAGGAGAACCCATTTCATCATCAAACTACTTTTATCATTAATATTTTTTCCTTTTATCCTTTAGTGGTTGTGAACTACTTCTGCCTGTGATAATCACAGGCAATTGTGGATTTCATCCCCTCACAGAATTTTTCTATGAATGATAAACACATATGTTTATCCAGAAGCTCCAGTGGTGCAAAATGCAGTGGCCCGCATGGTTTTGTGCAGACCTCGGTGTGCACATGTATCCAGGGGTGGGATTCAAATTTTTTAACAACTGGTTCTGTGGGTGTGGCTTAGTTGGTAGGTGTGGCCAACTCAATATCACTCACATCGAGGCACGCATCTCCTCGCCTGGCCTCTCATGACTCTGGGAATACTGCAACAGTCATAAGTGTGGAAAATGGTCATAAGTCACTTTTTTCAGTGCCATTGTAACTTTGAATGGTCACTCCACATAAGCAAAGTACCAGCAAAGGAGAGAAAAAACAAACTCCAGAGACGTTCCTGAGACAGGAAGTCTAGTCCTGCCAAGAGTGTAATAAGGGTTAAAGGAGAGGCAGTTTCTGTAAGCAACACTAGAATGTTTCCTTCCTGTCTTCCTTATGGGATTAGACCAGTAATTTCTTCTAACAACCGGTTCTCCAAACTGCTTAGAATGTTAACAACCGGTTCTAGCGAATCGTGGTCGAACTGGTAGAATCCCACCCCTGCATGTATCACCTCTCCTGCGGGAGCTGCACTGGCTGCCAATTTGCCTCCGAGTGCAATTGAAGGTGCTGGTTGTCACCTTTAAAGCCCTTCATGGCTTGGGACCAGGTTATCTGAGGGACTGTTTCTTGCCAGTCACATCTACCCTACCCATCAGAGCGGGGAGGCAGGGAATGCTGCAGGTCCCATCCCCAAGGGAGATACACCTGGTGGGACCCAGAAGAAGGGCCTTCTCCAGCGTGGCTCCCTCTCTGGAACATCTTTCCCCTAGAGATTAGAACGCCCCCTCCCACTCCAATACTCTTCCAGAAGACACAGAATACCTGGTTCTGCCAGTGGGCCTGGGGAACCCAGGGCAGGATGGAGCCCATTAAATGGCTCATGTGATCTGCTGTCACCAGGGCGGGTATGTGTGTGATTTTATTATGATTTTATTATTATATTAATTTATTTGATTCTTTTTATTAGTTTTATTGTTTTAAATGTGGTTTACTATTCTGTAAGCCGCCTTGAGTCACCATGGGCAAATAGGCGGCAATATAAATTTAATAAATAAATACATAAATAAAATAAAATGTTTCTTCCATCTCTTCTCAAAGGACTTCTTTGATCCATGTTACGCATTTTTGTCTCCTGCTCTAATTTGCCTGACAACCTCTAAAAAGTGGGACCCAAAACAGAAGTTGAGGCTGGAATTAGCTAATTCAGAATATAATATAAATATTACCTTTCACAAATGTAGAGGCTATAGTTCTATTGATGCAGACCTATAATTGCCTTTTGGCAACTGTGTCAAAAATCCAAAATCTTTTTTAGCTTCTTCACAGTTGAAAACATTATAACATTACCTGCAACCCACAAGCATTGCTGAGAGGTGTTTTCAGATCTTTCAGTCATGGTCTCATATATAGGTACACCTAGTTCTTTGTGCTTTCCTGCCACAATCTTTCCCTTTTTTTATGGGGCTTGCTTGCTATTTTAGCACAGGAATCAACTTGCTGAATGGGTTTGCTTTCAAACACTTATTCTAAAAGTAATGGTTGAAGGTCATTTGCAAATTGCATCTTGCACCAATCTTGATTAGTGGTTAGGAAACAAAATTAAAAGCTAAAGTATTCCTCAAGTAGAGATTGGCTCCTGGCGATTAGATCTGTACAGTTTTCTTATTGTTAGAAATGTTATTAAAAATTACTTGCCACTACCTTCTTGCATGATTTATTTTTTCTTTCTAGTCTAGCTGGCAGCCCTGTAATTCCCATCCAAACACAGCAGTAACAGGGCAAATCCTATTAAACATCATAGATGAGCAAAAGCCCTCTAGGTTCTGACACCTGCGCCCATCTATAAGCATTATACTGACAATGTTCATTTTAGGAATAGTGCAATTTTTTTTACAAAAGCCCCTAGTCTACTTAATTCATCTGGAAAACCCTGGAAGAGTGATGCTTTCAAGGGCTCTAGCAAACAAGAAGCAATCTGAAGTAGGTTTCCCCACATGACATATAAGTGAATAAACAAAGAACTGGAACAGGAGAAATCTGCTATAGATTCAATTGCTATTCATCATGTGAAACAGCTGGAAAAACTGCAAACACAGCAGGTTAGAGCAAGCCTCCCTAGTACGCACACACCTCTTCAGCAAGATGCTTTAGCACTATAATTTGGGGTTTTTTTTATAGCAAAGAGAAAAGATGAGATAGCACTCTGTGAAATGGAAGGAAGGAAGGAAGGAAGGAAGGAAGGAAGGAAGGAAAGAAAGATCTGGCAAAAACATTGCAATCAAAAGAAGCTCTTTGTCTCTTTAAATATAAACAGCTTTTTGACAGGCTATTGGCTTCCCTGGTCCACAATGTAAACTGTCAGTGCTACTTCCCAAGAATCTGTTGGATCTCAAGTCTGTTTGAGATAATAATACCACCAATAGCTACTTATGATGGGCTTGGGTTTTTTTTGGGTGGTGGGGTGGTAGTGGAGCATCAGGGCCCTTTATTCCATGGGGTATTTTACCCTACTTTCCCAGTGCAGTATCCTTACAAAAACTCATCCATACATTATTTGCTATATTTAAAGCTAAGTGCCAACTGAAGGAATCATTCTCTTGGTACAGGTAACTGAAAGGTTTTCCAGAGAAGCAGGAAAGGATGAGGGCACCTTTTCCTTCTGCTGCTATCCATTCCTAATTCCTGCCTTCTCCTTACTAACTTATTTCTCACTGGAGGGAGGGGAAGTGGGGGGAGGGAGGGAGAAATGCGGTTAAAAAAAATTGTGGCAAGGACATTATCCTGTTTATTTCCAGGCAAACATGCATGTATGCATTCCAGCCAGACCCCTTTTCAGGAAGACAGGGCTCATTCCCTATTTTTCAGCTACATTGGAGGCCAAAATAAAAAAATGAGTCCCTCCCTGCCAGTTATAACGTCTTGCCTCTTTTGTCTTGATGGATAACAGATATGAGACATTTCTTCATGCAGGATGGTACTACGGTTGATTTATTTTCTTTAGCTCTTGTAAAAGAGAGCTAACCAAGGAGAGTATTTTTGGGGATACAGGATGTCTTTTAACTATGAAGGAAAAGATCACAGTCCTGTATATGTCAGTAAGAAATATTTTTATGCAAGGCAGAAAATGGTATTTCCTTTTACCACCGCTAGATGGCAGATAGACAAGCCGTGTTACCGCGTGTTTCTTAAACCACAGAAAATAGATCATGCTCTGTTTTGAACTTTACTGTCTTTAGTAATCTGAGTGTGCACAGACTGCACGGTATCAGGAATATATTTAAGGGAAAAGGAAATTTAAAAAAATGATTTTTATATGGTAAATGCATCATGATAACACACATATTTATATTTAGTAATTTAATCACAGTATGATGGGGACAAACCATTCCAAAGCAGTTGATGCCATTATTAATTTATGCGAGAGAGACAGGATGACATTCCAACATCTATATTATTTCTGTAGGTTTCTTAGCACTTAATGTCATCTTGGGGACATGCCGAGTAGATTGAATGAAGACAAATATGACATACGCCTATATAGTTCACTGCCTTGGAAAGTGTTCTGAAAAACTGGTGCTATAAATTTTAAGCATGTTCAGATAAAAAGCTGGCTGTAGTGTAGGCTTATTGCTTAGTATATTTTTTTCAATGATCCATTTAATTTAAAAAAACCACCATACTTTTTAAAATAAAGCTTTAGGGCTTAAAAAAGGGCTCCAATCTGCCCAGGGCAAGTGGAAAGAAGTACGAATAAGAACAGATCCAGTGATGGATCTGCAGGGAAGTAGAGCTGTAAAACAGATGATGAAGTTTAGCTCACACTGTAAATGCAGAACCTGCTATGGACACGAAGAGCGATTCTTCATCTGAAGCTGAAAAAATTCCCTCTCTTTCCTGGCCTGCTGTTTATATATATGGACCCAATGATAAAACCAGCAGACTGGTCTAAGACCTTTGGGACTTTGAAAGGAAGAGACAAAATATCACCAGATCCCACTCAATTTTCATACACCAAGCAATCTTACCTGGCTGCCAGGCAGGAGGGTGTGCTGATACATGGAAAACCTGTCCCTTGCAGACTCCTCTGAGGTGGGACTGATGGGCTTGGGGTCAGATAAAGACCTTTGGATGGTTTTGATGGGGCGAGGCAGGGTCTGCTGGCGTTGGGTGGACTCAGCCATGAAGTGCTTCTGTGGAGTCACGTGGGCCTTGTTGAGCTTTTCACTGGATGCAAAGGATGACTCTAACAACCGATGAGGGGAGAGGGGGGACACCGGGGAATAGAGGACCTGAGGAGACTTGGGGGGCTGTCGGGACATAAGCTGAGACAAGGAGTCTGTGGGCAAGTGGGACTGGTAGCCGATTTCAAGAGGAACGGGCTTCTTCTTGGCTAGTGCTTGCTGTCGGACTGAATGAGGATCCAGAGGCCCAGAGCTCACCATCTGGATGTTGGAGGAGTAAGGAGGGATTGAGGTGGGCACCGTGAGCTGAGGGATTGCAATGCCTGGCTGGGGCTGCACTTCGGGTTCTGTCTGGCAAGCCAAACTCTCCCCTCTCTGGGTCTTCTCAGGGGCAGAGATGTACTTTACAATCTCCACCTTGGGGTCAGGGGAAGTGATGTGGATGGAAGGGGACACCCGGAGCAACTGGTCGGGTTCGGTCTGCACAGAACAGTCACTGATGGTTTGAATGGCTATGCTGGCCATGCCTTTTGCTGAAGAATCGGCTTTACTCTCTGCACTAGAATCAGAGTGGCGGGAGAAGCGGGAACGTCGGCGACGCACTGGCTGTTCCCACTCAGCATCGTCTTCCTCGTCTGTCTGTACACTGCAGTCAGTGCTGCGCCGAGGACGGCGCCGCCGGGATGCGTAGAAACGTTCTTCGCCATCTTCTTCATCAGTCTGCACACTGCTGTCTGTGATCTTTTTCACCAAGTACGGTTCATGGCTGGGCTCCTTATCATATGCATCCCGAAGACGAGGCATCGAGTTCCGTTTCTTTATCCCCCGACCGGCTTCCCACTGTTCTTCAGTCTGCAGGGACATTTCAGAGGCTGAGTTTGTAAGAGGCCTCTGGAGTCCTGGATAGCGGGGCTGTGCTTGTCCGTCTTGCCCTGGAGCTGCTGTAGCAATAAAGGCTTGGTTTAGGGGTGGCCAGTATTGTCCATTTTGAGCCAAGGTCCTTTGCATTTCTATCGTTACCTCAGGTATAACCTGAGAAGGAATCCGGCCAGTTGGGTCACATACCGGAGGAAAGGTACTCTTCTGCCTCTTCTGCTCCTCCAGCTGCTGTTGCAATTGCTGCTGCAAGTGCTGGATTTGTTCTAACTGCAAGCGCTGCTGGGCGAGCTGCTCCCGCTGCAGGGCGAACTGGGCTTGTCGCTCCTCTTGCTGCTGCTGGAGGACCTGGTGCTTTATGGATTGCAACTCCTGGATTTCCCTGTGCATCAAAAGCTGTTCCTTCTCTCTGTGTCTCTGTAACTCCACCCGTTCCCTTTCCAGTTCCTCATGAAGCCTCATCTGCCTCAGTTTTTCCAGTTCTACTCTTTCCCTTTCAATCTGGAGGATGTGCTCATGTTGCTTCCTCTGCCGTTCTTCCTCCTTTTCCTTTTCTTCTCTTTCCATAGCTCCTTTGCTAGCAGTGCTGGCCTGTGGGGCTTCTGTCTGAGGCTTTTGGGTTGGCAGGCGGGGAGGTAGCTCCTGTTGTGTCTGGCCGGTGTCCCTGGCAGGACCCTGAATCTCTGAGGTTGACACAGGCACCTCCTCACGTTGGCCAACCCCTGTCTGCTCAGGTCTTTGCAAGCTGACCGTGCTTGGAGCAGGGGACTTAGTAGCAGGTGCTATGCTTACTGTGCTGGCAGCAGTGCTGGCTGTAGAGGTGCTAAGTGGTTTTCCTAAATACATGGGTGTTTCCATTACAGATGCGGAAGGAGCTGCAGGCATCCTGCTGGGCACAGTATAGCGATAAAGACCTTGAGATGCAAGGGGGATCCTAGGCGTAACTAGGGGTACTCTGGTAAGGCTAGCCAGAGGGACAGCTGTGATACTGCCTGGAGCATAGTGCCTGAACAGGCCTCGGAGCATGGGTCGTAGCACCGAAACTGGCTGGGTGGTGATGGGAAGGGTTGATGCTATTGGTGTATTAATGGTTGAATAAATCATGCCATCAGCAGCTCGTACAGTAGCTGTGGAAGGGAGTACCTGTCTGACAGATCCAAACCTTGAGAGATTATATTGGGCTAAGTTTCCAAAGCCAGAACGAGACTCTGGGAAATTTGGATTGTACATCATGTTTGGTTTCATGGCACCCTGTTGAGCCATAATGTTTCCAGTCCCTCCTGGTGCAGCACCAAGAGCACTATGTCCATATTGTAGAAGATCTTGGCTGTTTGCATGCCTGCCCCCATACTGGTCCATGGAGTTAAGGGCTGCACACATCCGGCTGATTTCACGAGCAGTGGTAGCACTGTAATGAGCCAGGCTAGCTTCCTGGAAATTGGCCAAGTCTCCTCTTGAATATCTATAATCGGAGTAGATATTGGAGGCCGAGCTGTACCTTCGCATGGGATATGAATGACTTAATAATTCAGTGGGTTGTCGAAGGTCAGTGAAAGAGCCATATTGCAGCCCCTGCCCTAGGTGTCCTCCCTCTGTAAAACTGTGGCTGTAGGAATGCTTCATAGTTGTCAAGTCCACAGCGGAATCTCCAGCAGGGGAAGGGAAGTGCTGCTCTCCTTTAACTGAGTAATAGTTCAATCCCATTTCAGAAAGATTTGTATCCGACATTGAGGAATATAATCTCCCAAACATGCCATGAGGATGGAATCGGTGCTCTTCGTATGGATGAGGGACCGGTGGCGGCTGTTCTCTGTAAGGGTATGTCTCCGGCATTTCCTGTTCTCTGGTTCCATAATACTGGCCACTAGCTTTGCCAAGGGGAGATGCTTCTCCAACATGTTTTTCCGGCACTTTAGGAGATGGATTAAAAGCCCCAGTGCAGCTGCTTCCAAATGGAAATCTATAGACTACATCACAGCATGCTACTTGGCTCTCGGGCTTCATTCCCGTGAGGTCCAAAGCATTAGGAGGAGGTTCTTCTTTCATGAGTTTTGTGACAGAACCTGCTGCTATGTCATCCATCTGCACCATCATCACTTGAGACTTCTTACCTCCAAGAGCTACTGAAGGAGCCTGACTTTTCAGTTCCACTGGAACTCCTCTATATATCTCTGAGCTTTGATCTTGAGGAAACGGCCTGGGAATGGCACTCACAATATTTTGGGCATTGCTAGTCTGAGTAATTAGTGTATCTTTTTTTATCATGGATGTCATTTGGTTGGGCAAATTGTATCTTGCAAATTTTGTTTGCTGTGGACCTGCTGCTTCTGGACGGCCCATAGAAGCAGATGTGCCAGCTCCACTCATGGGTCCTCTGAAGGGACCGGTCTGAACAGCTTGCTCCACCTGTTTAATTTGTGTCAGACAGACTGGACTTCCTATCTCTTGACCAAAGTCAATTCTGTTCTGGAAAGGGTCCCCATAGACAATTGGTTGCTTCGATTGGGACATAAGCATGGTAGATGCAACTGTTATGCTGACAGTGGTGGCACTGCTGATAATAGCATGTGATTGTTCCTGGGCATTGAGGTTTATGATTAAAGGTTGGATGGCTGTGGATTGCCGACTCGGTGACTGGTCCATGGTGAGGCAATATTTTCTGCTCTCAGCAGCTAAGGATGTGAGATCCATTCCCTGGTCTGTTACAATGATTGGAACAGACTTTATTGCTGTCCTCAAATCTACAATATTACTGCCAGATGCTCTAGGTCCAGGTTCTACTCTAGATGTCCCAGGGACTGATGATATCCTACACAAGGAAATATTCTCTGCAGGTAGTGTGCCCCAGCTGTACACACCAGGCATAGGGTCAGTAGCAGTGCTCTGCACTTTCTGCACTGGAGTATAAGGAGAGGCTTTTTCAGGCATTGACTGTGCCTTGGTCTGAGTGGTCTGGACCTGCTGTGACTGGAATTGCACTGCACTGATTGCTGTTTGACTGTAACTATGCACTGTTTGCTGGCGGCCTTGCTGAGTTGGAGATGAAGGTGGTGAAATGGAAGAACTTACACCAATTGGCTTGGTTTGAATAGCTGCATCAGACGCTAAGGTGATGACCATAAAGGGGGCTTCTTGGGATGACTGTTGCCTAGCCAGGCGTGGGGAGCTGGCTCGGTGAGGAGTTTGTGTTCCTTGAGCTATCATCGGAGAAGTTGTCGATGCCCCAGTAGTTGCGATGTCGTACGAAATAATTGTGCTGTGTGTTTGAGTAGAAAACTCAGCTGTTGATTTAGCTCCTACCCCGGAACTAGATGGCATCCCAGTTCTTGGAACAGAATAAGTAGGACTTTGAGTAGGAGAAGAAGGGGAAAGGGGTGGGCTGGAACTTTTGAAAAAAGAATACATTTTGGGGGTTGTCATGGGTATGTTTGTCTTGCCATCAGTCACACTTTGATGCTTATCTCTTACTGATGACGCACCAACCCTGGGAATGTTTTCTGTTTGAGAACCATAATTTGCAGTTACTTTTGTCTGGCTTTGGCTAATGGTGGACACAGGTGATGCATCAGAGCCACTTGAAGTTGGAGAGCTGTAAATTCGGGTTGCGCTAGCTGGAGTAGAAACAACAGTAGTGACTGGGCTAGTTCCTTTACTATATGAGTAAGGCATAGCTACACTCTTTGGAACTGAGCTAGCTGTAACTGAGGAACTATGAAACTTTGTTTGCTCATTACTCTCTTTTTCAAAGTGCTGAGTGACTCTAACATCGGGGATTATTCTGCCTGCACTGCTTTCAGTCTGTGAAAAGGAGACGGGAGCAGAGAGTTGGGTCGGACTTGTTCCCGGAGTGAGCGGGCCACTTTCGTATGCACTCTCGGCATTCAAAAACTGCTTCTCTGGATAGGGGTCTTCTCTCCCTTGTTTCTTCATTTCTTGCTCAAGTGTCAAATCCAGAGAAGAAGATTGATGCATCCTGGAAATATTCTGTGATGTTTGAAGAATTTCTTCATATAGTGCCCCAGATTTGGAAAGCTCATTCTGATAGTCAGCTTGTGAGGAATCTATACCCCGACTATCATAACCATAGTCATCTATGTACTGATATTCAAAATTGTTTTGGTCTTCTGAACCACGATAACTTACTTCTTGAAAAGTGTTGTTGTACGAAATACTTTGTTGGAAAGGTTGTTGTTTTTGGAACATTTCTGCCTTCCTCATCATCTCTTCATAGGCTTCTTCTGCACTTTTGAGAGGCTTGCTGGATGGGTAACTAGAGCTAGCCATTTTTTCTGTTGGAGAGTAAAGGGACATGAAGGTTGGCAGGTTGTACTCACTGCCAGATTTGTACAGTTTGGAGGCAATGACATCAAATCCTTCAGCCTCTGAGTCAATAGAGGGCGAATATTCTGAACAGGAAGACCTGTGAAGCTCCTCCATCTCTGCAGCCTGGCGCAGTTCCTCAGTGGGTGAAGCATCTTCAATAGGTGACAAATTACTGGGTGGCGTTTTAGATCTCTCTCTCCTCCTCTGTGCCCTCAGCTCTTCTTTATCTCTTTTTGTTTTGCGTGCTGTGCTTCGAATCCGCTGCTGCTCCACCTCCCGCATTTTCTCTTGTTCTCTCAAGAGCTCCTCTTCCTCTCGCAACTCTTCTTCTTCTGAGGAATCTTCAATGGTTGGCAGTAGAGGGCCATGAGAGCGATGCCGGGCTTTCCTCTGCTGTTTCACCTCTTCTAATCTCTGCCTGCGGCTCGGGCTGCTGTCACTGTCTTCCTCCAGAGAAGAGACTGAGGTTGGGGATGTTCCCGAGGTGTAACTGGGTGTGGTTGGTGGCAAAGTGGAGGAATAGTCACCTCTTGATCTATCTTCTGGGGAGCCTGTGAGGCTCTCCATCTCCAGTTCAGGTTCTCTGTCCAGGTTGATGTCTGCCTCCTGGCTCAACTCCATGTCTCTGCCATAGTTGTTAGTGCTATTTAACTCAATGGTCTTGAAACGACGCAGACCTCTCTGAGATGCAGCCATGTCATCAGTCTCGGCACTTTCCAGTTCTTTTTGCTCCTCCTCATATATGCTGCTCGAGCTGTGAGGCAGGCGTCTCTTGGATGCAGTAGGCTCTCTGCTTTTCTCAGAATCAAGCTTGCGTCCATCTTTGGAACTGTATTTTGCATGATCATATTCTTCTCCCTCCTCAAGATTGTCTTCTTCTGCACTCATCTCCAAGATTTGCCTCCTCATGAATTCTTCATCTGTCATTACAGGCTCTTTGCCTTTCTGTTTAGTTGGCAATGGGGAGAATCCTGCTTCACTACTATCTGTCACATAGTCATGGCGTAGCTTGCTGCCAAAATCATCTGAAGATTCTGCGCTGTCCTTCTTCTCCCTTTGACTATCCCATTCCAGAGAGTCTTCATCTTCTTCCATGATGTCTTCTAGCTCCTCATCAGAATCAAAGGCTTCTGGAGTGATAGAAAGTGACCGTGGCCTCTGTCTTTGCCTCTGCTCCTCCCTTAATTCATGGTATGTCTTCCCACGGTCAGCTGATGGGTGGGTCAAGCTCTTTGACTCCAGTAAAGGGCGCATGCTGGTTTCTAGCTTAGTAAGTTCAGAAGGACTGGGAGGACTTGGTTCTACAATTCCTGTTTCGTTTAGCTGTTCTCCTTCTTGCTGCACTAAGCCTGTGATTTCACTCTGGGAACTTGAGATCCCATCAGATGAGTAGCCCGTATCACTCAAGCTTTGGGGGCTGCGGGACTGCTGGTCTGAGGGATAAGGCTTGCTGGAGTCCTACAAAGGAAATAAACATCCATTAACATTTCATCATAACTGACTGTAAACATAATTCATGTTATTATTCAGATTTACAGCAATTTATAGTTGCAATTAACCTGGACTCTAACATTCAAAAAACAGCAAGCATAATATGCTAAGAAATGAGAGCTTGATGCTTGCTGGTAGAGTAATTATTGTCCAATCACTCTGTTCTCTTTTTAAAGAATTTTCAGGGGTCTGATGACATACTCCATTTGGGTCTCAGTATTTTTCCATTGTTTTATTTGCCCTTTTTAATCTAGAAAGTTATTTATGGCAGAAAGACAGAATTTGTGTGCAATGCCTTTTGATTGGTAGACCTTTCTACCTTTCAATAATTTAAAAGTGCATGCAAGACTGTTTCCTAATATGAGAAGCCCAAGGAAGTAATTCTTTTGTGGTTTTTTTTTTTCCTACTCCAACCTATGCTCAGAAGTCAAAACACAAGTCTGGGGTTTATTTTACAGATATACATCCTTGTAACATGACACAAATGTATAACAGCAATATATGTGGTAAATAAAAGATATCTCTCTGCTAGATTCAAATCCACAAAAGAAAAAAAGAACCAGATCTTTTCAGACCATGTATTTGTAGTTTAATAAACGAACAGCCCATACTGTTTTGCTGCAAATGTCAACCCACTGGGAAGATTTTGTTTTGAAGTATATTGCAATTTCCCAGCACTAGTATGAAACATTTTTGTTATTAGAAAATCATAAGCATACCCAGTTTTGTTTTGGCAAATCAGAATTATCTGCTCGATCACTGATGATAACTAGTTATTTTAAAAACTTTATCCCATTATATGCAACTATTGTTTTTATTACCTAAATGATGTTTTAGCATAGTGTCATTATGAATTGTGATACTTATAAGTCTCCATCCAACTGTGGATGACAGGCCTACTTTCAGCAAGCTTCTAGAGCAATGAAAAGTATGTGTCAAACCCAAGCAGCTAGCTCTGAAATGTTATAAATCCACATTCTCTGCCCTCAAGCCGGAAATTCAAGTTTACATGCCTTATTGGTTCTGTCCTTCCATTAAAAAAGTAAAAATAAAAAAATCTGGTTTACCCAAGGCTGAACAATTTTAAAGTCAAGACCAGACACACAATTGTTGCTTTTGCAAAAAGAAGCATTGGCATCCTTGACTCCTACTCTACAAAAGAATGCACAGGAGATCTCTATCTCAGTTTCCACAAATGTGTTACTCGATTGTTTTTAAAACAATTTCCCATGCCTTTTTGAATAATGCATTCATTCTCAACACACACACACACACACAGGGGGGAGGGAGGGAGGGAGGGAGAGAGAGAGAAAGAGAGATTTACATTTTACAAAGACCATTATTTGAATGATACATTTTTTTCAACTTAGCTTTGAGTAAGCTTCTGAATTGATTACTTGAGGCACCACCTCATAAACTTATCAAATCCAGGTCTCACCTCAGTGCGAAATTCCAAATTTAATCCTCCCCCCCCCGCCAGGTTATCTAGCATGCATCTGAATGCACCCAATGAAGGGCAGACACCTCCATTTTGAATAATTTGTTCCCTGCTAAACTGCTCTTCCTTTTATGACATTTTTCTAACATTCAGCAAAAATCCTCTCTAACTTAAATCTGTTATTCCACATCCCACACTCTGGAATGAAAGATAACAATCCCGATTGATGGTTATTAATTTCTAGTGTATGACATCATTTCTGGTATTTGAATAGTGCTACCATACTTCCCCACCATATTTTCAAGGTTATCGATGCCCAGATATCCCCAGTGCCTTCAATCTTTCTTGATACAACTTCGAGTTTCCTAATTATTCTTATTACCCTTGTTTGCCCTCTTCTTCCAATTTCTCTGTATCTTTCTTAAAGCTCCAACCGAGACAGGAGGCTCAATGCAGGGTCTCAGCAGAGCAGAACAAAATAGAGTCAGCATTTCTTGTGATTTAGCAACTATGCTTTTGTATGGTCTGAGGCAATCTAAAAATTGCATTCGTCTTTTTTTTTTTTGCAGCCATATCATACTGATGCCTGAATAGCTGTTTTGCCATGCACCCCTCCCACCCCAGAGATGCCAGAAAACTGTGCTAGCCTAAATCTTGCTGCTTACCTAACATGTTCTTACCTGAATGAATCTGTTTGGTGGTTCTGTCCATGGGGCTTTAAAAAGGCAACTGTTTAAGAGCTATGACTGGTGGCTCCCTTACTGAAATTCTAGTCCTGCTCAATGTCATTCCTGCCTCTTCTGCAAGCCCATTTAATCTTACATTTCCCACTCAGCATGTCTTTGGCTTTTGCCTAGTCTAGCTTACATGCTTACTTCTTTCAAAACTTTATCTGAAATGGTATAGGGTCTGAAATGGTATAGGGTTTCCTGTCTGAGCAGCAGGTTGACTAGAATATATCCCAGATCCCTTTCAGCTCTGTTGTTCTGTTCTGTTCTATTTTTTATTATTCTATTTTCTATTCTATTCTATTTTCTTTTCTATTCTATTCTCTATTCTATTCATCGCACACTGTAAAGTTCCTCCTTCCCTGTCTCTTTTTTCATATTTGCAAGGAAGCAAGGGTTTGGATTAAACGAAAGAATGTTGTAAGGGGTTGTGAAAGCATTCATGCATATAAACATCTGGAAAGGTGAAGAGTGGAGGCTACCCCTGTGTTGTAATGACAAGGCAGTTAAGTTTGATCATGAACAACTGAATCATGATGATCTTTATTGGAGTCTAGTCTTGCATTTATACACATTTTTAGTTATCCTCGATCCCTGGTTAACTTTGGTTACTGCTTAACTTTCATTACTGTTTAGCACAGTAATCCATACATTAATTATCTCTAGTTAAAGTCTAACATATGTTTACTTCCTCTCTCTAATCCTCCTTTAGATTAGTGACTTTGTTTGCCTGAGTTGTATTTGCTTGGAAACATTCTTTGTCTGAGGTTTGCCATCCGAGATTAGAACATTCCTGCAATTACAACTCTATACCCCTGAAGGAAAAAGACAAGTACTGAAGGTCACTTAAACATCCATCCTGTCAGACTTGACCTCCCTGTCAAGATGGGAAGGACAAAAAGCAGGGAAACAACCTATCAGGGCCTGCAATTGCTGGAGGTTGAACTGAGGCCCCAACCTGGCTCCATTGCAAAAACCACAGCTATTCGGGTAGGAATTTGTGAAATCAGCATTCCCGCTTGATGCATTCCTCTAGGAGAATGTAGAAGCATGTACGATCCTAATTTGGGTATAACTGTATAATTAGTTGCAAATCTTTTAGACACAATATTGTTAGTCCACATTTAATTGTGGGGTAATGATGGCAGTGAGATAGGCTCTAACTGTTACAATCAAAACCCTCTCCTTGTCAGGGTTTGCAAACCCCATTGAACTGCAAGGGACCTAAACTTTTCCTAGATAAAGCATCAAAATAATTTGGGAGTGCCTATCCTCCCACCCCCTCCCACAATGCCTCACTATATAATACAGAATTAGAATAGCGTAGATCTATCTGAGAAAAAAGGTATGGGAAGTTGTGATCCGATATACCAGTTGTGATCTGATATACAGTATCAGTTGTGATCTGATGCATCCTTCTCAATAGGAAACAAACCTAACTATTGGCCAGAGATTTGGAAAATAAGCCTTCTTGAAAACAAATGACATCCATCATTAAGGATTATGGTTCATTCTTTCATCTCACTTACCTTTGCTCTGTCTGTCAGAGCCTTTTGTGGAGGTTTTGAATGTAATATAGCTTCTGCCCCAATAATTCAGCAACTTCCTGCAGGCTGCCAGACTATAAATAGGGCTGGAGGGAGGATTTGCCCCCCCTGTTTTAGATTCATAACTGTACTTACCCCTTGGATGCTTTCTTAGCTGGCCCCACACGTGCTTTGTCCATGCAAATCCTGACAGGCATTTCTCTTGGTTTAATAAAGAAGGCATTTTCCTACTGGAAACTGAACTCCACCTCCATTCTTGCCTACAAATTCCTTCAAGCAAAAAACTGACCCCTAGAAGGCACTTTAGAAATGTTGCTGAAATTCAGCTAAGTGCTAAATTTGCTCCCAGGATTCCAATAATGTTGATGTGGTGCTGATCTCACATGCAGAATTAAAACATTTTACATCTTCATACACAACTTCAGAAACATGTAACTGGAATTTAAAGCCGAGAAGCAAATTTGTCTTCGGGTTTTGAAAGGTAACAATCCCAACCACGTATTTCTCACAATTCAGATGACAGTACTGGGAATAAAGTAACGGTGAGGCAAAGGCCAATCTTTAGAATCCCCAAAGGCAGAAAAACCATACTTGGTGCTCAAATGGCATTTTGTGTAGAAAACCCAAGAAGTAAAGAGAAGGCTGCTGATCTTTTAGTAGTCCATTTCTAGGTTCTATTATATCACATGACCTAAAATGGACACCTAACATCAAAAACGTCATCAAAAAAGCACAACAAAGAATGTTCTTTCTGCACCAACTCAGAAAGCTGAAACTGCCCAAGGAGCTGTTGATACAGTTCTACAGAGGAATTATTGAGTCTATCATTTGAACCTCTATAACTGTCTGGTTTGGTTCTGCAACCCAACAGGACAGACACAGACTCCAGAGGGATAATTAGGACTGCAGAAAAAACAATTATACCAACCTGCCTTCAATCAAGGACCTGTATACTGCACTAGTCAAAAAGAGGGCTATGAAAATATTCACAGACCCCTCACATCCCAGACATAAACTGTTTCAACTGCTTCCCTCAAAACGATGCTATAGAGCACTGCACACCAGAACAACTAGACACAAGGACAGTCACCACTCTGCTAAACATATAATTCCCTCAACACTGTCCAACTATTTACAAAGTGTGCACTACTATTACTATTAATCTTCTCATCACTCCTTATCACCCATCCCCTCCTACTTTTGACTGTATGACTGTAACTTTGTCGCTTGTATTCTTACGATTTATATTGATTGTTTCCTAGTATGATTTGATTGCTTATTGTATCCTATGACTATTATTAAGTGTTGTACCTTATGATTCTTGACTCTTGACGAATGTATCTTTTCTTTTATGTGTACTGAGAGGATTTGCACTAAGACAAATTCCTTCTGTGTCCAATCACACTTGGCTAATAAAAGAATTCTAATTCTAATTGATTAAATTTTGTTCATTTAATTAATACTCCAATCAAAATATTGGCAGTTATATAATTGGAAATTCCCACAGAACCCATTACAAAAAAAGTTATTGTCAACTTGCAGCTCAGGAGAAAGGAGGGCTCTACATTTACTAGAAAGGGAAATGGGTTAATGTCCATTATTAAAACAAATTCTATTCTGTTAAACGCAGCAAACTAGACCATTGAGTCCTATAGCCAACTTCTACCCTGAAGGGTATTGTCTGCTATGCTATGTAACATCCACAGAATATTCTGGTCTTTATAAATCACTCCAGATGGAGACTGGAAGAAGTCTATTGTGATATCTTAATCCAACAGGGCTTGCTCCTGTTCACCTTCGTTCTTTCACTAGCAACAACTAATGGTTGTTCCCTTAGGTACTCCAATTTATTTTTCTTTCTGGAAGTCTCATAATTAGCCTCCTGCTGTGAACTAATACCTAACACTCTGACTCCTTCGATTCATCACTATCTCCAACTAAACTTGGATAATTTTTGATAACTGATAATTCCTATCCTATCATAATAACCCAATAGCAGAAAGAATCTGATACTGATTTCATGGGTGCAAATTGTATTCTAGATACCACATGAATATTTCATGGAGAAATTACTTTCAACAGGCAACCAAGTACACACAAAGCTTTCCGAAAATGTAGTGGCTTGCCTTTCCTTATATGTATACTAGAATTATAGTTAGGATAGAAATAAAGTTGTTGTAGAATGACCAGATCTCCAATAAAGGAGGCACTTTATAGATGTGCATTTGGAAATGTGCATCAGAGTTGAAGAAGGCTGGTGTGAATCCCTAACCATTAGCAAGTATTCTCCTTGGATATACAATATACAAACATAGTGCACAAGAGAAAGAGATAAATTGTATATTTTCCAGAAACAACCAACTAGTACTAGCTAGTTTATACAAAATGATGAAGCTGTGCTCAGATCCAGCAAAACTTCCATTTAGATTGTGAATGTTTTGTCACAAAATGATGTACAGTAAATATGCCCTATAACTGTAAACTATATTGCCATGCTTTATTTATTCATCAGATCAGAAGAGGCTTGAAAACTAATTATATATATTTCTGAGATTAGCACATTTGCAAACAGAACGTGTTGGAAGGGATATTTCTCAGGGAGATAACAAGAAAGTTTTGAGATGCTGAAAATTTTCTGAAAGCTAAGGATGATTAAAAACCCAGCAAGGGAAAACAAAAAACTTATCTCCTTTATATGTGTATATTTAAAAAGAACTCGTTTAGGCTTTAATCCATGATGAATCCTATGATCTACATCATAGAATTCAGTCTATCTGATATGTAACTTGTCCTAAAATTCCTTACTAGTTCAGGGTTTCTCAATCTTAGGATCTTTAAGATGTGTGAATTTCCATTCCCAGAATTCTTCAGGCCAGTCACACATTTTCAAGCTGCTGAGATTATTAAGAAACACTGTCGTGCCTACTGTCCCTGTCCTATTGTCCCCATTTATTCATACCTATTTCCTGTATTCTTACTCATGTTTATACTTATATCTATTACCTTGTAAATGATTGACAAATCAAATAAATAAAAAAAATAAAAATAAACACACCTCACACCACCATCTACTTTCATACATTGCTAAATGACAAAATGCTTACCTCTTGCTCTCTTGCTTTCTGAGATTCAGATACAACTGTGCTGTCTTTGATATCTCTTTCTGGTTTCGAAGCTGCAATTTTCTCTTTTGACAATGGACTTTCAGAAGGTTTTGGAGACTCTTCAGCTAATTTGGGCAGTGGCTTTTCTTCAGATGGAGCAGCAGGCATTTTTTTTTGGACTGTGGCAATTGGTAACTTGCTTTGTTCTGAAGTCCTGAAATGTGCAGGTTGCCTGTCTTTAGCAATTGATGGTTCATGGTGCTGGGCTCCTCTCTGTTGCTGACCTCCAGCTTGGTGCCGGGGGGATCCAGTTGGCTGTTGTTTTGAAGTGGGCAGTGGCATTGGAGCAGGATCTCCCAGGCTTCCTTCTAGTAGCCTCTGAGTTTGGCAGTTCAAACATAGCCATTCGTTTTTCTGGAAAAAGAAGGAAAAACTTATAATATCCAATTGCTTTGATGGAAACAATTATTCACTCAACAATGAATAATATTTCATTCAAGGATCAAAGTGGTCTCTTCTTTGGAAACCAGTATAAACTCTTCTCTTACTGGAGAAAAAAAAACACAACTCGCTACTCTTCCTGGACATCCTGATCAGCAGAAACCACAATGGCAAACTAGAAACACAAGTCTACAGAAAAACCCACCCATACTAACCCGCAACAACCAACCTCTCACAAGAAAAGCTGTGGAAGGCCTTTATTTAAATGAGCCCAAACATATTGCAGCAACCCAGAACGGTAGAAAAAGGAAATGGAGTATCTATACAACACATTCCAACAAAATAGATACCACACAACTTTATCAAAAAGTCCCTGACCACTCAACCCAATACAGCACAGATAACAGATATTCAGAGTTGGAAGGTACCTTGTAGGTCATCTAGACCAACCCCCTGCCCAAGCAGGAGACCCTACACCATTTCTGACAGATGGCAGTCCAATCTCTTCTTGAAAATCTCAAGTGATAGCGCTCCCACAATTTCTGAGGACAACACAAAACATAGAAAGAATTACATTGCCATACATCAAGAATATTTCAGAAACTACCAACAGACTCCTACAACTACAGGGAATCAGCATAGCACACAAGCCAAATAAAGCCCTTCAAAATATCCTAAGCAAACCAAAAGACCAAGCAACCCCAGAAGAAAAAACAGGAGTAATCTACAATGTAAGAACAGCAACAGCCACTATGTAGGACAAACAGACAAGACGGGCAGAACGCATCTGTGAACACCAAATGGCAATCAGAAGACATGGCAAAAATTCTTTAATTTCACAACACATAGACAGATTTAACCATAGTTTCTATCGTGACTATCCTAGATAAGGCCAAGTCTAAAAATGCCAGGGAATTTCTAGAAGCCTGGCACTCTGACAAATCAGCCATCAACAGACACATAGACATTAATAACATCTATAAACATGCAAAAGAGACAATCAACCAGCCAAAAGAGGACAAAAAGACTCCAGCACCACTCCAGCACTAACCAGCACTCAGATCAGCATAGAATAACTTCAAGGTTAACTTCAGATCAACAATCAAATAAACAATAATCCAATCAAGAAACTGCCAAAGAGCCGTCAGTAAATAGCCCAACCAAAGAATCTCTAAGAGATTCTAAGAATCTCTAAGAATCACCCACCCAGACAGGTAAGAGAGCAGAATATAAACTGATAGCAAACAGCACTCCTTACTAGCATTGATGATGTTACCTAGTTAGGGTAATGAAACGTTTACAAGAAAACAAGCAAGCTTAGAGAGCATCAAGGACCCCACATTTCAACCTTAAGCTACAAATATTCTCCTTTATTGGTACTCTTCTCTTCATATATTTTGACTTAATGTCTCTTTACAGTATATAAAAATAAAGTTTGTTCAAACCAAACCTGCATGGTCTGGTTGACAAGCCAAGTTTATGATACAAATGTATTTATGTAAACATAACATTCCATTGTATTTGTTCATAGAGCTCACTGTTAGCTGAGCCTTCCAATACAGGCTTATGTAGTAATAAGGCAGTGTATGCTTTATAGCAAGTTCTTCAATGAGGTCTGCTAAATGCTGATTATCCACTTTTAAAAGAAGAAAATGTTGGTACTGACACAAATCCTGCATTCTTACCACAGAGTTACAGCCCTTCTTTCAAGCTTGATTCTTTGGATCCAGTATACAAATATCTCTGTTTCAGTCTCAGTTCACTAGTAATGGCATGTGATGGTTTTTAATTTCCAAATAACATGCCTATCTAGGACAACCATTTAATTATTCTTTTCAAAAGCAATTCAAATAGTTTTAACACAAAAGAGCTACTCCAGAAAATGTTATTTAATTTAACTTAATTTGACTTAATATACTTCCAACTACAGAAGTTACTTTGTGATTTACAATAAAAATGAACAAATCTACATCTTAAAACAGTTCAAGTAACAAATAAAACAAATTAACAAAGTATTAAATAAAAGCCAGTTCAAAAATATATGTTTTAAGGGATTTTACCATTGATAAAGATGTTAAGCCCTCAACTCTGTAGACCCAAACACAATCTTCTCAAATATCTCATCAAATGATCTCAGTAAGCATGGTTCAGGTCCAAATAGCCTGAACATAGGCCTTTAAAGGTACTGACCACTCTGTATTTTGCCCAGAGGTTAAGTGCAGCCATTTCAGAGTTTTTAACACAGATGTAACATTGTTCCTCTGTACTTGTCCCACAAACAACTGTGCTGTCAACTTTTGTACTACTGAGTTTTCTGGACTAGCCCCATATAAAGAGGAATATAATTAAGCATGGAGGTTATACTAATGAACCACAATGTTAAAATCTTTTTTTTTAGATAGGGACACAGGTGATGAACATCCAAAGCTGATAATAGCAGCTGAAAACAGTACTTCTGTTTGTTACTTTTAATCTGAGAAACCAAAAACAACCAGATCCAGAAACACTCCACTGATGTATTTGCTATTTCTGGGAGAGTGCATTCATATCCTAGCAAACCTTTGGAATAATAGCTGTTTAGGACTTTCAGGGGAGGTCTGTGGAACTAGCACATCTCCAAAAAGGTAGTGACAATAACTGTGGCAAAGACCAAAGAACTGGTTTTATGGAATCTCTCCAGACAAGGAAAGGATGAGAGATTACCCACATGTGCTCCAGATGAATGCTTCTCATGAGAAATCCACAGGATAGTGGTGTCCTGCAGCTCTGAGAGTTAGAAGATGAAGGGTTCAGCCATCATACTCACAACTGAGACAGAACATTTTAAGGATACCATATTTGTTAACCCCACTTTCTAATCATTTTCAGAAACTGCCATTTAACTAGCTTAATTAGAGATCTTCAGAATAACGACTCTGAAAAGCCACATGAAGAGGGACTTCCGATGATGAGATATGGGCGAATGGAGGTGCTAAGCTCGCCCTGGGTTTCATGCTATCTCCTCCTGCTGTTGGAGTGACCCTTAGGGGTGCACACATCTTGTAGAGAAGCATGCCAGTGTGGGGAGACTCAAGTCACGGCGTGGAAAAGGTGATTCTAATTGTGATGTGAAACCCTGAGAGAGACCGACAACAAGAAACTGTCAGTAATGGCGGTCCTAAAGCCTTGATCGTTGCATACAAGAGGAAGTGAGTGAGTGACAGACTGTGGTGAACGAAGAGTGCAAGTGAAAGAATTTGCGATCCTGATTGAGCATTGAATATTGGAGAATCTTAGTCAGAGCGAAGCCCGAAAACAGCGGCCAAAGCAGATACAAGTGGCGGCGAAAGTGAAAGGGCTCATGAGATGGAACAGGGTAAGGATGCGAGCAATTGGACAGAGAAGATAAGAGAATCGGAGGGATCTGAGAGACTGATAATAATTGGGGGAGAGAAAAAGAAGAAGAAAGAAAGAACATCAATTTAATTTAAGGGAACTTTGAAGGATTTGAATCGTGGACTTTGGGGAAAATTGGAAGGACGAACTTGAGATGAGGGGAGACTTGAAGTGAAGAATTAAATTACAACTTTAAATATTCCACAAACGAAACTGAATAATTTACTGGTCTCCTTTTGGATTATTGGACTGGAGCTGTAGTAAGTGGAGAAGATTTATTAAAGAAAGAGACTATTTGAATCTAAAAATTGACTTGTAAAACTTTTAAACGAAAGGAGAAATGGCTACAGTGGAAAGTGTGGTGAGATAGTGAAATCAGAGACATTACTCAGCAACTCTGTACTTCCGGTGCGCTCGGTGAAGGAATCTTGAAGAACTGAACAATTATATTAAGACACTTTAAGCATTTAAATTTGCGGATTGCAACAATTATTTCTTGATGCCAACTTAACTGATTTTTGAATATGGTAAATATAATTTATATATATTTAATTGATATATTAGTAATATTGTAGTTTATATTTGGTTATAACACACATAAAAAAGGGAGGTGATAATTAATTATTTAGGTATAGATATTTGACTATAGGCGTTGAGTAGATTGAATTAAATAATTAATTGTGATTAATAGTGATTATTATGGATTAATTAATTATTGTATAGTAAGGTTGATATATCTATATTTAGATTTGTAAATATTTGAAATGTTATTTTATAACACTATTTTGAGATTTGGGATTCTACAGCACTATAGGAGAGAGAGGTCAATAGTATTTAAATTTAAATAGAGGAATTTGATATATTATCAAGATCTACAAATCCATATATTTGATTTAGAAATTAGCTGTAAAAGTGTTCTGGAGAATATATATATTGATGAGAGAGGTTAATCCTGTAACATATATTAATTAGCATAGTGGCCATTTATTTTTATTTTTTTATTTTATTTTATTTGTCAATTGTTTACAAGATAATAAGTATAAGTGTATACATAGTTATGAATACATGAAATGGGTACATATAAGAAAAATAAAAGAAAAATAAAAGAAACAATAGGACAGGGACGGTAGGCACGTTGGTGCGCTTATGCACGCCCCCTACAGACCTCTTAGGAAAGGGGTGAGGTCAATAGTAGACAGTCTAAGGTTAAAGTTTTTGGGGTTTGGGGAAGAAACTACAGGGTCAGGTAGAGTATTCCAGACATTGATCACTCTGTTGCTGAAGTCGTATTTCCTGCAATCAAGCTTGGTGCGGTTAACCTTGAGTTTGTATCTATTGTGTGCTCTTGTGTTGTTATGGTTGAAGCTGAAGTATTCATTGACAGGTAGGACATTGCAATGTATGATTTTATATACCATGCTTAAGTCAGACCGAAGACGGCGTAATTCAAGGTTTTCTAGTTCTAGAATTTCAAGTCTGGTGGCATAAGGTATTCTAC